CAGAAGGACTTGGACATACCCCGTGCCAACGGCCCATTTAAGTGCAGAAGGACGCGCAGGAGAAGAAAAAGAAAGTATGTAAATGGTGAAAATACACACAATAACTTTAATTCCCTCCCCATTCTCTCTCAATTTCCACGAGATCTAAAGCGATTAAAGCAAACGAATCATCTAGAATGTTTATCCTACTTTTTACGTGTGCAATATTCTTCCTCCCCGTTTGTCAATTTCTTCATTTAACACTGGGGAACATGTAATGTTTTCCCTGATAGGATTAAATCAACAACAGCCAAGACATTAGCCCAGATCAGGGGCGTTTTGTTAGCCGCATGGTTATAACACGACAGGGAGAACGATCTTTCCTGTTATTACCACGTGACGACTCAGCAGCTCTGGTACCCATTTCCTAGAGGCTGGGTGAACCCCGGGAGCCGCCCGGTTTCGAACACCCACCGTGGGCTACAACGAGTCACAGTTGGATTTGAAAGCGAGCCTCTTATCGACTGCGCTAGCATGCCCCCTTCCTCCTCCACCCAAACAAGTGAGTGGGTTGTCGACATTCAATCTGAATCAATTCATTGTTTACATCTATCATAATTTCAAGACGAGAGATCCCATTTTACTGCACAAAGTTGTATCCAACTGACCAAGCCTCTCCATAGAAAGGCTAGCAGCCTGTCGAGAGCGCCGCAACATTGCAGCACCCGTAGGATCCCCAGGGCGTCACTGCACTTGTGAACTGAGCGACTTAGCCGTGATACCAACAAATGACTTTTAGCATGTTTTCGTCTGTTTCTTACAGGACTGCCGATTCTGTGTTTCTATCCAGCGTCATTTCATCTTCATATATGGGTTTTGGAGACTTTTGTTTTAGTTGCCCCCCCCCCCCCCCCAATTTCCCCCAAAATGTAAACTGTTTTTGTCCCCCGCGAGTCCATATTAAAAGCCTCCACTGCGCTTGTAAAATATAATGTCTAAAAACTGTGGGCACCATTTCGCCCGACACAATTGGCAGTTTTTTTTTCTTTCTCAAACTAAGAGGGAGGTAAAATATTAGAATATAAAACATGAGTTCAATTAAAAAAGACTAGAAAAACAAACAGCAGGGCGGAGAACCGGTCCCCATATTACTGATCAATGAAACGCCTATGGAACCCAACATCGTGATTAAGAAGACACATCAATAAGGACAGCGAACAGCAATCTCATTTAAAAAAAAAAAACATGATGCAGCAATAAGATTCCCCTCCAAAATCCCCTGCATTTGCAAGCACAGATTGAGCACATGCCAAACAAACTCCCATCACTGTCTGTCCGAGCTAGATGCCCCCTAAAGTAGTTATTACCCCCAGCCGCCTGGATATGCCAAAGAGGGTGGTCACATCGTCGGGCTCTCATGAGGTAGACCTGGGTTCAACCCCCGGTAAGGTGATGGAGTTTTTCTGTCAGGGCAAAATTAGACATTCTAACTTTCACAGACCATGGCGACAGCACTAGCCATGCGGTCCGAAATCCCCAGGTTTCATGAGCCCCCTGTCTACACCACCCTTAAAATTGGTTAAAAACAGACAGTAGTGACAGTTCCGCCAGTCTGGCCAAATCAATCAATCAATCCTCATTGTGCCCAGAGGCACATAAGGCAAAGACAAACTGTCGCTATTCCATTAGATCCTGAGCCATCCTATCTCCAGTTCTGTCCTTCGCGTAGCCTTGTTCAGCCTCAAAGGGCCTCTTCCTCGCTGTCTCTTCATTCTGAGGACATGTCCAATCGACTTCCATCTTTGTTTTTTTTTTATTTCTAAATTTACATCTTCTAAGTCTGCCATTTGTTGTAATCTAGAATTGCTGATTTAAAATTGCCATGGCCTCACATGTGTGGTAAATGTTAACCAGAAATGTTTTGGGAAGTAAAGACATCCAGCATGATATAGACCAAATAATCTGATTTCTGACTGGTTTATTAAAAACAGAGAAGTATGCCCATATGTCTCGAAATGTGGAAATAGTAAATGCATTTTTTATTTTATTTATATAGAACTTGCAGCTTCAGGAGAAAACAATGAGTTCACTGGTTGTGTACCTGACAATGCACCACTAGTTCATCAATTAGTCAAAACATAACAGGGACAGTGATTTTAACTGCTGCTATCCTGCTGGTTGGTTTAGAAGTCCAGCAATATCTTTGCTACCATGGACAGTGACATTAACTCATGTTATTCTGCTGGTTGGTTTAGTAGTCCAACAATATCTTTGCTACCATGGACAGTGACATTAACTCATGTTATCTTGCTGGTTGGTTTAGTAGTCCAACAATATCCCTGCTACCATGGACAGTGATATTAACTCATGTTATCTTGCTGGTTGGTTTAGTAGTCCAACAATATCTCTGCTACCATGGACAGTGACATTAACTCATGTTATCTTGCTGGTTGGTTTAGTAGTCCAACAATATCTCTGCTACCATGGACAGTGATATAACTCATGTTATCTTGCTGGTTGGTTTAGTAGTCCAACAATATCTTTGCTACCATGGACAGTGACATTAACTCATGTTATCTTGCTGGTTGGTTTAGTAGTCCAACAATATCTCTGCTACCATAGATAGTGACATTAACTCATGTTATCTTGCTGGTTGGTATATTCGGTGTTATTGTTAGTTTTATCAGTGCTGATACCTGGGTTGAGGGTTTAGTAGTTCAATAATATCCCTGCTACCATGGACAGTGATATTAACTCATGCTATCCTGCTGGTTGGTTTAGTAGTCCAACAATATCCCTGCTACCATGGACAGTGACATTAATTCATATTATCTTGATGGTTGGTTTAGTAGTCCAACAATATCTTTGCTACCATGGACAGTGACATTAACTCATATTATCTTGCTGGTTGGTTTAGTAGTCCAACAATATCCCTGCTACCATGGACAGTGACATTAACTCATGTTATTCTGCTGGTTGGTTTAGTAGTCCAACAATATCTTTGCTACCATGGACAGTGACATTAACTCATGTTATCTTGCTGGTTGGTTTAGTAGTCCAACAATATCCCTGCTACCATGGACAGTGATATTAACTCATGTTATCTTGCTGGTTGGTTTAGTAGTTAGAAATATCTCTGTCATATATCTGCTAGCATGAACTGTGACATTAACTCATGTGATCCTGCCGGTGGTTTAGGACTCCAAAAATATATGTCATATCTCTGCTACTATAATTCATGCTATCCTGCTGGCTGGTTCAGTCTAGCCCATAGTGATCATTTTTTTAAAACCATCTGCACTTGCACTCACTTGTTGCTTGAAACTGGACATTCTTAAGATATAAGAAGTTAAAGTAGCTGCTGGAAGAGTTACAAGCAATTGAGATACAGCTGGTGAATGTAATGACAGGACACAGCTAAAGCTGTTTAGAAAAGCCTATAATTTAGGGAGCTATCCACCAACATATGGTCCATTCTTTGCTAATGAATGTTTTATATTTTCTGTGACTGTACACGATCTGAAAATTAAATAATAAGATTAATTTTATTATGACCCCCCCCCCCCCATTTTTTTCAAAAGCCACACATGAAGCAAAACATGTCATCCAAACAGGCACCATTCATCTACGATCTGGGACAACTATAGTGCCGCTCAGAAGGGATAATAAATAGAAAGAGAGAAAACATTATCTGTAATGTTTCTGTCTGATCCCTGTTTTGGTGAACAACTGAATGTTTCATCTCTGTTCCCAGACAGGCCCAAGTGTTTGGTGTCAGATCTTTGACTGGTGTCCATTTAACAAATCATAACATAGACTTTCACACCATCTGTGCTGGTTACAGCCCTGTTTCCTGTTATGTAAAATAAACATGCCACAGGAAAAAAGGGTTCACCATATGCCCTGTTCACCTTGTTTCCTGTTTGCAATGCAGCATTAGGAAATAAACACAGTTCTTCTTTGACCTCTTTGTTTTCAGTGATTGTCAGATCTGGCAAAGAATGTGTGGTTGTTCATCGACTTCAGGACTTTGGTCTTTGTTTCAGAAATTCAGTTTTGTGTGCTCATCTGCATTATAGATCTTACTGAGTTGTAATCATACTGTTGGTTGCTCGCCTCTAAGGAAGATGCACTCTGACTTCAAGGGATATACCCTTAATTAGTCAACTTTTACAACATACTAGCTAGGGGTGAGGTGGGTTCTGCCCCCACTACAAATGGGGCCCTGGAATCACATGGAGAGAAAACAGTTCTGGTATGAAAGCTCATTCAGCATTGTGTTTTGCCTAAACCATGCTTTTTATCTGTTATTTTAACTCTTTTAGAATCAAACAGCTTTACCACACATTTCTTTGTCATTTCAAAGATATAATGTTCTTGGCGTTGTCTATTACAGAAAGATGTTATTTTAACCTCTTTGAATCATAATTCCTAGTTTAACTATTTCTCTCTCATAATTTCACTATTGAAATAATTGAGGCTTAAGTATTTGTTGCTCTTAGCTCAACTTCATGGAAATGAAGGGGTTAAAATAACAATTGCACTCGGTACTGAAAGAGTTAAGCAACAGGTATAGTACTCTAAACATATTAGATATCCCTAGTGCGTTTGTAAACTGCTGGTGTTTGCAGGGATCTTTGAGCTGAGAGAAATAAAGGTTTGCCCATGCAGTCACTACACAGTGTTGAGGCCTGCATTTTTATTCAACATCCAATGAACACAAACTCTTGGCCTTACCAAGCAATATAACATATAATGAAGAAAAGACACATATATCTCAGAATGTGATGTTGACATGTTAACCTCTCAGACACATGCTCCTCAATACTACTGTATTTTTAAAATTCGAGTTCTACCACAACTGTGCAGTGAAAACAACATTCACAGGAACATACAACAGGTATTAAAGCAAGACAGATGGATGCAAATATTCCATATATATTACAGGGGACAGCAGGAACTGTACTTAAATAGAACAAAAGGACAAAGAGGGGTGCCCTCCAGAGGACAAAAATACTTACCACAGTTGTTAGTTAAATTCAACAAGAAGCCACAAACAATGACCCGCAGACGAGACGCACCCTCCTCGGTGTTGGCAGTCTGTTTAGAAAGAACACCCAACACAACTGAAATTCCATCTTCCTTATCTACAGCTATACGACCTGCATCTGAAAAAAATATGAACACACATAAATGACATCAAAAATACAAGGAGACAAAACATACATAGAGACTTATTAAGTTCTCAACTCCTGTAATCACAGCTTCACTGTCTTCCTCTGCAGTTGTCCCTAAATGGGCAGTTGACGCACAGCAAAAGCTTCAAGCTAGGTGGTGATTTTGGCACTTTTCAGCCCAACATATTCAATGCTAGTAGAACTTTAATTTTAAATTACATTTATATTACTTGGGACGTCCCTTTATAACATGCTTGTTAAAATATAGCAGGTCTGTTTTTACCTTCCCTCATAGTGTACTTCTAGCACAGTTTTAGGCAACATCTTTTTAATGTGCATAAAGGGGTCCTCAAACCAGTGCCTATGCATTTCAGTTCTCAGGTTACTGTAGTATTTTTGACATGGACGTTACGGCTATCATCAAGTCTGGCCACTCCAATGTCAGAGTCTGTGAGTTTCCTGAGAGCCATCTCATCTGTCTAATGGGCTCTTACTCACCTAGGGACCTTAATGCCCAACAAAGCTTTATCTAATATTTTTGAGTTGGGGCCACTGCTCACAAATGCTCTTTATGGCCAGTAAAACTTCCTGCATGACATGTGTCTTAGAACTTTTACTGTTCAAAGCTGTCATGGAGAGACCCCGTAAAAGTGATATTGTGTATTATTTAACAGTGTATCTGAGAAAGGTGGTCCAAGTGACAAGAAGGGACACAGTTCGCAATCAGATAATAGGTCAAGATCTTGAGACCCAGGCCTTACAAACTTTAGTGGATCAGTAACAGTTACAATGGTTTTGGCATGTATGCAGAATGGAAGAAAATCTGCCAATGTGGCAGGCATGCAAGGCTAAGAACTAGGGAACAGACCTCCATGGCAACCCAGCATCCGCTGGGAAGACAACATCCGGCAGTCCATGACTGACAGAGGACTGCAATGGAACAAGGCCAGAAAGAAAACTGCCGATAGTTATAAAAATCTGGCAATCTTTCTGGCCTACCTCTACACCCCAAGGTAGGAAAGGAGTGACTAAGTAAGCAAGTAGGTATAACACTGTATATTCATGTCAAATGCTGATGTAGGCTTGGGTTCATTTGTCATTCATGACTGTGATAATGCCAAGCTGACCATTTTTACATTTTGTTTGGTGTGAGAATTTTTTTTAATGACGTTTATTTCTGGTGTGCACTTTAGGCATATACATCTTTTTGTCGTGTGCATTTCCAAGCACAAACTATCACAAACTTAATATTTTGTCTTGAGCTGGCTCTAAGTTTGATATGACAATGCACATTCAAACATGAAGATTTAACAACAGAAAGTAGTTACCGTTATCATAGCATATATTTCCCAAAGCCCGGCATGCTTGTGTGGCTAAGGCAATATGTTTACTAGACAAGTGTCTTAGAAGATGAGGAATCACACCAGTGTTCACCAGAGATTCTCTGAGGCTTTCTGCAAGGAAAATTTTTTGATACTAGCTAGTCAAGAACATCAAGAAAAGACAAATACTTTGAATGTATGGTAAGTTCATCACATCTTGTCACAGTAACATAAACATAATATAAGGTAAAGTAAAAGTTGCACATCTGCTGCAGGATGTTGCCAATCAATCCTGTAAAGTTGTAACAAAACTATCAATCATGTTGACAGACAAAAAGTGCGGACATCTTCTCCACTGACATACAAATAGTGTTTCTGTGTGATATAGGTCCGAGAACTTATATTCTAGCATTATCTAAAGTTTATACCTGCCAGTATTTACAAATAAAAAGCTGCTTTGCAATGTTATTACAATCACATGCGCACGCGTGCTCATACATACAAAAAAAATAAAAGTAGTAAGGTGTACTATTATGCTTTTATGTCCCCCAACAGTTTCTCTCACTCACACACATACACAGAGAGAAAGAGAGAGCGAGACAGAGTGAGATCAAAAACACATTTATTTTACTAAAAGATTTAAAGCAACTATGAAGCCAACGTAATGAAGGACACATGTACAAGAGGGAAGGGGACAATATTTACCTGCCTTGGCGAGCTCTGCAATCAACTGTGCACAGGAGACAAGCAGCTGCTCATTCTCTTCGGAGACTTCACCACGAAGATGGGATAGTACCAGGTTCATAGCATCATGATGCAGGATCACCTCCAAGACATCCAAACTGTCTATCACAACATCGTCTTCATCTGGAGATTGAGTCAACAGATAAGAGTTCAGACAGTGAGGACATAATATATCACAGTGTACTGTCTGGCATATTTCATTGTCTCTCCCAGGTGTTTAACTCCACAATTTATATCAACATATAACGAAGCACAAAATATGAATCCTGATGACTATTCACCTAGACAAGGTGTTTGGCTTTCCAGTTTTATAATAATCATTTGTGGATTGGGGGGAGGGGGAAGAACACCTTCTCCAAACAACAAGCAAGTCGTACAATTTGACTAATTAGGGGTCTAATAGCAAACAGATGTGCTAGGCAGAAAAGTGCAGATTTTGCACCCCAGTTGTAAAGCACAACACAATGTGCTAACCACTATTTTAATGGCAAATGCTGAAGAATGAAAGGGTTGACTGGTGTACAAAAAATACGAGTCTAGCATCATATGCCTCATGCGCCAAAAGGATCTTGGACTTGTTTTTAAATATTGTGTGTGTTTATGTCCATTTTATTCTTTGAAATTTTGTTCAGCACTCTGCTGAATTCTTTTTTCCTACTAACTATAAAAAATATTAAACAAATACTTATCATCAGATTCAAAATGTATATTCATTTCTCTTTAAAAAAACATTGATTTACTTTTGTAGGGATTAGAAATATATTACATTATCAGCTGCTTTTTTTTTTTTTGGTACACCACCCCTTATGCCATTTTTGTAAAAGAAATTAATGTAGGCCAAGTCTGTCAAAATTAATGGGCCCGAAAGAGTTAAGTCTTGTTTCAGAACTCATGTTGTGCATGCACATCCATTTTACAAATGTTGCTAATGTAACAAGATAAGGCCCATACCTACAATATGCAGGAAAAACTTACACATTTCAGCACAACCTACTAAAACTAAATGTTACAGGCATCATCCACACAGCACAACTAATGGTTACATCATCTCAATGTGAAAACTGACCAATCACACACAATGTGTAGGTTGAGACAGAGAGAAAGGCAGGTCTCACAGACTGATATAATTTATATATTCACCAATCATTCTTCGCATTCTTTATTATTGTCCCCCCACCCCAAACAACAAAGGCAACCAGTACAAGATGAGCCACACTGTGCTCAGTCTACAGCCACCATCTAGGTATAACAGCCTCACTGGAGCTAATATTTTCCCACAAAGCTTCAACAGATCTTTGGTTTTATATACATTTCCAGCATTATCTGCAAGTCTATAGAAGAATGGCAAGATGGATAAACTATCAGACTGCTACAGGCACCACTGGAATTGCACTGGCTGAAGATTGGACACAGAACTTATGGAACTGTCCTAAGTGCAGTGATGTACGTGTTGTCAGTATGTCTCGCTTCTATTTGTTAAACCACATTTCTATGACTTCATGTTATTTTTCTGCCACTGTGCCATCATAGTTCATCTTTTGCAACCATGTTACAAACTGGTCTCTAGGCAGCCATAACTAATTCTGTAGCAATTAAACTGCACATTCCATGTTCAGCATACTTACTTATTGCACATATAAACTTGTTTAGTTGAGAAATGATTTTCTCTTGCTGCCGTTCAGGCTCTGTGGACTTCAACTTTGACAGGAGTTCTTTTGCATCATCTAGTGAGTACATAACAAAAGATAATATTGTTTTAAGTCAAGAAGAGGGTAATCTTTAAACAGATACTCTTACAACAGAGAAAAGATCACAACAAGGATACTTCTATCAGTAAGTATTGCATTTACACCAATGCTGACGTGAGCAGCAAGTATTTTCCCACAGATGAAAAAAAAAAAGACTGTTCATCTAAGCAGTCACCACATTGTGTACAAGCTAGGATATTTATTTCACCTCTTACAGATAACAATCAGGAATACACCATACCTAAGAAGGTACTAATGCTTCTGAAATCCCATGCTCTGGCTGTTAAAGACTTTTTATAAAGTTAGCGGGTCTCGACAGTTACATTCCCTATAGCCATAGGCTGTGATTCCAATGCATCTCCATCTTCTTCTTCCTCTTTTCTCTACTCCTGGAATGCTTTCTAGTGTAAAGGCCAAAATTCTCTTGAACAGGCCCTTTTGTTCGCTTAGTATAAAATTTGTGTCAGTGTCTCTGACATTTCTGTGGTCCTTATTCTGTGAGGTTTCCTCTGGCTCTGTTACCGCTGTACCTGTACAACATTGCTCTCTGTGGTGCCCTATCTGATAACTATTTTGTTACATGGCCAAACCATCTGATTTTTTACTACCAGTAAAGTTCATCCCTATAGCACAATATAAAACCACTGTCTGGAAAGATGGAAAGGTGCCAACAACTACAATTCAGGAATACATCACACAATTCCATGTAAACGTGGACATCCTAACCTCTTAGGCACATGCTTTTTTTATAGACTTAAAAAGAAAAAAGTTAATATTTGTTTGATATATCTCTCTCTTCTTTAGGTTACCTCAATAAAGTGTTGGCAGTCTACATAAGAATTGTCAGTGTGCTTTTATAATATGTTGTATGAGTTTACCTTCACTTCTCTAAAGTTTTTCATGATGTGATCATTTAATCTTTTCTGTGGTCTTCTTGCTCTGTGTTCATTATATTTCTTCAACATGGTTCTCTGTGACTGCTGGTATAAGGGCATTCTCTTCAGATGGCCAAACCACCTTATCTGTTGCTCTTTACTGTATTATATGTCTGTGTTAGTCCTAGTTTTAGTCTAGGTTAATAATTTTAACATTGACCTCTTCTTGTATTAAACACAGCTTTCCTATGACTCCTCATTCCTGTTTTTCTGCTTGTTAACTGCAGTAAAGTTGTATGTTTGACACTGGTAGCATTAGGTCGGCCATAAACATTTTCGGCTATCCTCCGAATAATGGTCCTAAATTATCTGGGCGAAAAATATACCCTAAAAGGGCCTCAGTCGCGTGTCCATTGCGCACTTCCGTGGACTATAACGCCACCGCCGAATTGCGAGGATGAAATGAGGATTCCTGTGTGCGTGCGAGTGTGTGTGTGTGATACATATATCGTTATCATCATCATCAGGTGCCTTGCCAACTGGAGTGAGCGATCATTCCTCTCCACAATCTGCGATCTCCTGCCGCATGTATTACAACTGTATTATGAAACTTTCAGCACAATCTACAAGTACAGCAATGAATAATGAATGGTATCTGAGATTTTCTGTGAATGTAAGATTTAGTAAGTCTTTTAAATTAAAATCTTTTATTTACTTTAGACCGTCAACCCTTTAGTATTTAGCTGGACATTTGGATAACATTAACAAGATAAAGTACGTGTATTCTCATTTTCATTGGCGAAATTTACAAGATCATATGCTGATATCTCCTAAAACTAAGTGTAATGACTGACAAAATCTTATTTACGAAGTGTCAAATTTGGACATTTATTTAAACATGTAGTAATTAAAAATATAAAAATTACGGCGGGTAACCACGAAAACGTCTGGACAAGAATACAATATCAATAATAGTAATACATTGTATTATACAATATGATAAATCAACGCTGGATAATATAAATATTAACATAATGTCTGTAGTGAAGAAATGTATAAATTACCCATTGCTACAGAGACTGGAGAGAAATGAGAAATATCCCTAATATGAATAAATTCAAGAATGAGACAATATTTCTGGGCCACTCATTGTCGTCCGTTTCTAGCAGAAATGTTAACTTGACACGGGAAGTACATCTCCGCCCTCGTCTGTGTCGTCATTCTTTTATATCGCCAAAGCATCTGATTAATAAAATTGAAACACATAAGCCATAAAACATAATTTCTTGTATTTAAGTATATATTTAATACAAAAATAGACACTCTTCCGTAATATCTTTATAAATTGTATTCTTTATATTATTACAGTAACTTATATGTACATCAGAATTACAAAAACACATAAGGATATTAGTGGTGCTATGAAATCGAAAGGATATAACTTTTTCAGAGAAATTACTTTAGAAGAAGTAAAAGAATTTATTTTATACCAATTTAAATACTTCAGGGATAGTGCATTTTTAAACTTTACTCAGCAATCAAAACGTGCATTATGCAGGCCTTGTAGTTACTAAGGTAAATTATGAGTAAAGTTCATTACGGCATATTCAGGTATTTATCTAGAAAAGCGGAGGCATAGTTTCCCTTCGTGTTGTAGCAATCTCTCTGGCCTGCTTCATGGCGGTTTCGATGAAAACATGAGCACCTTCACTGTAGTTCTCACCGGAGGATCTCCCTGGGGATTTAGAATTCAGGGTGGCAGGGAATTTAACGAACTGATCAAAATAGCCAAGGTAAGAATTGTCCCTCAGTTTTTGAATATTCTGTGACGTTTATATAAAATTATCTGAAAACAACCGGATATATTTAGACTACCTGACTTTCACCTTACGTACCTCTGTCTACTTGAGCTGCCGTGTGTACCTGGAGAAACTTCTGTAAGAACGTAGATATTTATCGAGCTATTTTCTTTGTAGAAGGATTTCAGTGTCTCAAAATTGCAGCATTCAGATCTCACATTTAGCCTTTTCTCCCCGCAGTAATTGTATATTATAGTGTATACCAATGATTTACTTAATCTGTACATAACATTTGTGTACCAGTTATTACTAACGTGTTGCCACACCCATTTTAAAGAAGGGGGAAAACTAGTCAATGGTTAACCTAACCTGGCTCAGGTGTACTTTTGCACGAATTTAAATTTAAATATACTCACGCGTCACATAAACAATTGAATATGCAGGGTATCTTTTTGAGTTTGTTTCCAGATATAATATGGACACCATAGTATATATTACCGGCCTACATTTTCCGCCTCGTTGACTCAGTTAAATGTACTCAACTGTGTTGACATTTAATTCATATTTAATTAACATTTAAACATTAACTATGTCTGCATGTTTACTAGGTTACACTACTTTACCACTTTATGAATGTTAAGGTTTGCAGAAAGTTGTTTGACTAAGTGCTAGTCAACTTAATGGTTTCGCTTATGTGAGCTGGAGCTGTGGGCAGAGAACATTTGATTAACAGTTAAAATGTAACTCGTTCTTAGTTGTTGACCGAAGTGTTGATGAGCAGAACAGTTATCATTTCATAGATTTGCGTATAAACTTACTTTTATGTCGGAATACAGCGTTTCAGACCTGTAAGGCATCAATATGGAAAATTAGGTACTTGTAGCCTGTTTTTTCACGTACTGTCTTTTTTTTTCTTTGCCAGTGTGTGTTTTGGTAATTCTGGTAATATTCTTAATGTATCCATGTGATTGTAATAATCTAATTAATGGTTAGCTGTAGTTTAAAATTTTACTCACCTTAGCTATACATGTGAATTCATAAAAATCTTTGTATTACAGTACTAATATGTAACAGCGAGAATTGTAATTCTTGTTTCTATTAGCTTGTTTGTGGTTTCAATGTAACCAGTTTGCTTGTGCATAATGAGCTTATCTGAAAATTGAGACAGTAACAAATGGCAGTTAGTGGAAAGTATATGGTGAACAAATTTCACTAATATTATTGATTGAAAAGTTTATCATTATCATCATCATCACCATTACTGTGTTTCTGTTAGATGGTGGTGTTCTTGTTTCTCTCAGGTCCTTCATCTGTGGTGTTCTGTGTCAATTATTTGCTATATCAGATAATCTGATATCATGTCTCTAACTGCCTTGTCTACCACTGGGGCTTCCAGCCATCAGAATGTTTTCTCCCATGTTATAATTTTTTGTCTCTATGTGGGATGCAGTTTTTCGTTATTTTAAAGCCCCACCCTGGTGGTTGCCTGGGCAAAAATAACTAGTCATCCCTATGTGGGATGACATTTTTCGTTATTTTGAAGCCCTAGCCTGGGGCTGCAATTTACCCCGGTCATAAATGTGGTCTAATGGCTGAATGCCGTTTCCGGGTGCTCTCCACAGGTGATCCTCATCGCTTGTGTGATGTCCTAGCGGGGTGAAATGTACTACTACTTTTGCCTGGGACCCTAATATAACCTAACAGTCAAACCTTCCATGGGGGATCCTCATCCGAATGGTGGCACTTTGTGTCACTGGGTGGTTATTGCTCTGTGTGATGTCCTGGTTGGGTGAAACTTACTTAATTACTCTCCCATGTGTTATTTCCCCTATTTTGGAAGGAACCAGAATAGATTGCGGAAGGATGAGGCAGCTCAAGAAAATTGGGGGAGGATGAGGCAGCTCAAGAATATTGGGGGAGGGGGAGGCAGCTCAAGAAAATTGGGGGAGGGGGAGGCAGCTCAAGAAAATTGGGGGAGGATGAGGCAGCTCAAGAAAATTGGGGGAAGGATGAGGCAGCTCAAGAAAATTGGGGAAGGGGGAGGCAGCTCAAGAAAATTGGGGGAGGATGAGGCAGCTCAAGAAAATTGAGGGAGGATGAGGCAGCTGCAGCTCAAGAACATTGGGAAAGGAGAGGCAGCTCAAGAACATTAGGGGAGGGGGAGGCAGCTCAAGAAAATGGGGAGAGGGGGAGGCAGCTCAAGAAAATTGGGGGAGGATGAGGGAGCTCAAGAAAATTGGGGGAGGGGAAGGCAGCTCAAGAATATTGGGGGAGGGGAGGCAGCTCAAGAACATTGGGGGAGGATGAGGGAGCTCAAGAATATTCGGGGAGGGAGAGGCAGCCTAAGTACTTTGGGGGAGGGGGAGGCAGCACAAGTAAATTATGAGAGGTAGCTCAAAAAAATTAAAGGAGGCGTGGGTGCAGCTAAAAAAAAATTGGTCCAGGGGATAGGGGGCAGATCAAGAAAATTGGTGGGAGGGGGAACGCTGACAGGACCACATGTTCTGGCACCACTGGATTACCCAGTCTATTCTATCTAGCAAAGATTTTGTTGGGTTTTCCATAAAATGATATTAAAAATAATGAAGTTTAACCCCACTAGGACTGAACACGGTGACACATCTCCAATAAGAATCTTTTAGGTAAAAAACCCCAAAACCCGGTTTAGCCATAAGGTTATACTGCAACCCCTGACGGTTACAAAGTAACCTGAAGCCCAGGTAGGTACATCATTGTTAAAACGCTGAATAGAAATTTACTTTGATTTGATTGAAGACCAACTTGTTTTGGTTTTCCTGCTGTGGATTGCTTTTATGTCTTGGGATGGGAATTATATTAGTCATTGTAGTAGGAAATATAGCTGAAAGAGCACACAGCAGGAGATTGTAGATCTTTGGATGGAATCTCTTGTAGGTAAACTATTCAGCTATTTAATCCTAATTCTGTGAAGTTAACTCGCGATGGGTTGGAAATTCCTTCTGATGCAGACGGCTTGCAGTAAACAGTTTATACTTAAGTGATATGTGTGTTTATTGTAGCAGAGATATCTCTGATCAGTGTGGGAA